GATGTTAGATGGTAAATCCTGAACGCGGGACCCTTCAGTTCTAAAATCTTTATGAAAAGCCTGTTACTTGAACCCAAACCGAAGTACTCTTATTGCCTCTTTTCTACAAGTTCAGGAAGAATATTTCCCGTTCACACTTTTCATAACGAGGGAGAATCATTTGCCTACCTTATAATGAAATGACAGTGCTTATTTTTAAAGCTGGATTTTTAAAATTGGATAGTATGAACAACAATAAGGAGTGAGCCACTTTTTATGGGCACCCTGTAGTTTTATAGTTCTTAATCTAAAGTTAAAGTTTTATATTCTTTTGGAAGAAACTACAAGCCACCAAATGTACAGGCTATAGAGTGGGTTGGGGCGGCTCTCCCACCGCCTTTAAGGTGTATTGTAAATCTCGGCCATTCTCATCTGCCTCCTGAGTTATTTTGAAATGGTTCCCTTTTTTTTTGTACATTTTGGCTACAGTATTGGTGGTAGAATATACTATAATATGGATCATCTCTACTTCTGTATTTATTTATTTATTACTAGCCCTCAACCACAGTCTTCTTTTCCCCTTCCACCTCTCTCTGCCTGTAGGATGTACTGTATGTAGTCATGCACTTTGTATTAATATATTAGAAATCTACAAATCTGTTTTGTACTTTTTATACTGTTGGATACTTATAATCTGCCGCGGTCCAGCCGCAGCGGGAGTCAGGGGGCCGGAGGTGGGCAAGGCGTCGGCACTGGGAGACAGCAGACTACACGACTCGGAGGTGGTGTGACACTGTTCCACTTTATTGAGAATCAACATAATCTTTTATACTTTCTTTTTTGGCTACGATTACCTTTTTTTGGTTGGCAAGCAAGAAATATTATTCACAGGTTAAACAATACAAGTTTCGATTTCATCAGAACGGAACAGTTTTGACTTATTTTTTAGAATAGAGGAGAAAGGAAAAATCAGTGACCTATAGAGTGATAGATGTGGCTTTGTTTGCAGCANTTTTTTTTTAAAAAGTATGAAATAGTTTTGGATATAACAAAACTAGAAGTACTGAATAGTTTGGGATATAACAAATACTCCCATTTTGGAGTATTGTTACATGCCATGATAGAAAGGAAATAAAGAAATATCTGGCTTGGGCCCGGCCGGGTGTGGCTCAGCGGTTGAGCATCGACCTAGGATCCAGGCGATCAGGGTTCGATTCCCGGTCGGGGCACATGCCCGGGTCGCGGGCTGCAGCTGATCAATGACTCTCTCATCATTGATGTTTCTATCTCTCTCCCCCTCTCCTTTCCTCTCTCTGAAATCAATAAAGATATATTTAAAAATATATATATATATATATCTGGCTTGGTAACTTCTCTTACGTCATTCTTTTAGGAGGGTTGAGTTATTTTTTTTTTTTCTTTTTAAATATATCTGTTGATTTCAGAGAGAGGAAAGGAGAGGGAGGGAGAGAGAAGAGATAGAAATATCAATGATGAGAGAGTCATTGATTGTCTGCCTCCTGCACGTCCCCTACTGGGGATCGAGCCCACAGCCCAGGCATGTGCCTTGACCAGGAATTGAACCACGATCTCCTGGATCCTAGGTCGATGCTCAGTCACTCAGCCACGCTGGGCTGGGCTATATTTTCTTTTTTTATATCTTTGTGATTTGCAGATTTCTATTGATGAAGTCGTAGTTTATACTTGCCTGTTTAATAATTAAGAACTATAAACTAAAAGTGTGGGAAACTTGAATTCCTTCCTAGATTCATTACTGATTCGCTTTGGAGCCTTGGACAAGTCACATAATTACTCATGTGTTGGTTTCCTTGTTTATAAAATGACATTAAAGATAAAATATCTCATACTTTCTGTTAAGAAAAACTTTGTCCCAGACCCTCCATCAGAACCTGCACTTACTTCCCCTGCACATTGAAGTCATATAGCACACCCGTGGACTCCAACTGCTGCACCCTGCTTGCCTTCCTGAGAAAAGCCATACTCCACCCACCGGGGCCAGGCCCCAGCCCCAGCTCGTGAGAGTCCCCTTCCCCCCCAAACAGAAAAACTTTGTAAACATTAAATGTTCGTTCTAGTATTGATTATAATAATTAGGAATACCCTTAAGTTTAGATTTAAATGGAATCCTACTATTTAAATTTATTAAAGAATTATTTAGTTTATAAACATTGGCATACAGTATTTATTATGTGCCAAAGATTATGTTAGGCATTGGTGATTTCAAGATGAAGAAAATGCAGTCTTTACCCTTAAAGAGTTAATTTTGCAGGCAAGATAAACATGAAAAACAAAACTTACAATATATTGTAACTAGTCCTATCATAGTGGTGTGTATTAGTGCTATGGAAACATAAAGAACTACAAAGGAACAGAATCATCTGTTAAGAAAACTAAAGAAAATATTAGTGATGATTACTTATTTGGCCAAATGGAATAGTTCTTTAAGAGAAGTGATAGTGAAACTATTTTACAGAATCATGAAATAAAAACTTTTCATAATGAATGAACCTAACATGGACTGTGAAAAATTGAGCTTTTCAACATTGCTGTGATGTATAAAATCAGGGCAGTTTGCATATTTTTTGTGATCACATAATATAATAGCTAAAGGAGGGTAGTGTTCTCAGAACCAGATACTGTATTATTAGAATCTAGGTATTTCTTGCTCTAAAAAATAATTTCAGGGTCAGTTTAATAAGCATAAAATACTAATATATTTAATATTAAACACAAAAATCATTTTTGATTCCTGCCTCTCCATAACCAACCTTTAAAGTGACTTTTAAGTTTGTTTTTTTCTCTTTTTAGAAACAATTTTTTTAATTGATCTCAGAGAGGAAGAGGGAGAAAGAGAGAGAGATACATCAATTTGAGAGAGAAACATCAACCTGTTGCCTCCCACACACACCCTGACGAGATTGAACTGGAAACCTGGGTATGTGCCCTAACCAAGAATTGAAACGAATCCAAAACCTGGTATACAGGATAATTCTCCAACCGAGCCACACCAGCCACAGCTAAGTTTTATTTGTTTGTTTTAATATTTTTATTGATTTTTAAAGAAGAAGGGAGAGGGAAAGAGAGAAAAACATCAATGTGAGAGACATCTAATTGGCTGCCTCCTGCACGCCCCCTACAGGGGATTGAGCTCAAAACCCAGGCATGTGCCCTGACTGGGAATTGAACCGGCTACCTCTTGATGCTCAGGAAGATACCCAACTAACTGAGCCACACCAACCAGGGCTGTTTGTTGTTTTTAAGTATAATTTTATTGATTTAGAGAGAGAGGAAAGGAGAGGGAGAGAGGGGGAGAAACACCCATAGGCTACACCCTGCATGCACCCTAACCAGGGATTGAGCCCGAAACCCAGGCACGTGCCTGGAACTGGCAACCCTTCAGTGCACAGGACGACTCTCAACCAACTGAGCAACACGGGCCAGGGCATAAGTTAGTTTGTTTTTAACTTAAACTTTTAGGTTAAGATAATAGTGAAGAGTCTCACATATAGAAGTTACTATTCATGGGAAGAGGGGGATGAAAGAGAAAATTAGGGGACGTCTGTAATACTGTCAACAATAAAATAAAATTTAAAATTCTTTTTAAAAGTTACCATTCACAGTCTGATTTTATTCAAAAAGTTTCTTTATAAAAGATAAATTTTAGCCTTGTGGGGTTAATGTAATTTTGTATGGCAAAATAAAGTATAACATGAGCATTACTGTTTCATAAGGGAATAAACACATTAAAGCCTTGTAAAAAATACTAGTATAAGTGGTAATTTTCATACATTAGGCATGCCTTGGATTTCATTAATTAGTACCGTACTTACTATGTGCCAGGTATATACTAATATTTGTTAACTTATTTAATTCTCCAAATAATAATATAAGGTGGGTACCATTATTATCCCCATTTCCAGATGAGGAAACTGAGGCACAGACAAATTAAATGGTATGTATGCCCAAGGTCATACATATCACTAGTGAGCTAGGAAGCTGGGATTGGGTCCTGGGCACTTTGGTTCCAGGTCCACGCTCTTACCCATTGCACTATACTATCCTTTCTCTGAACCAAATAGAAGCATCTATTATATATAATCTTTTCTCAACAAGTGCATTCTTCTGTGGGGCAATCCCTAGGAAGAGTGTTGTGCTAAAGTTTAGAACTTTGCTTTTAGTACCCAAGGGTAATGATGGCACCATTTATCTAGCTTCCCAAGCTCCATAATTTCCCTTCCTACATCAGGTCTACTGTTTGTAAATCTTCCCATTTCCTAAGTATCTTTCGGCTTTGCTCTTTCCTCTGTGCCCTCTCTGTTCCCACTATCTTGATCCTGGCCCTCAGTATCTGACACAATAGTTTCCTAGTTGGTTACTCTGCTTTCTGTGTCTCTCACTTCTGGTCTTTACTCCAGGAAGCAGTATTTTATTTTATTTTTAACTAAAATCCTTATCAGATCGATTTCACCACTATTATGATTGTAAAATGTTTAATAACACCGATTCCTACAAGACTAAATACAGACTTTATCATGGCTTATAAAAACTCCTTTTTTTAAGATGCTTCCAATTTATTTTTTCATCTTCATCTCCCTCTACTTCCCCTCTGTACCCTTCAGTGCCATAGTCCCGGAAGGCTCTCTGAATATCCTAGTATGTTCTTTTATGCCTCCCTGGCCTTGATCCATGCCCTTCCCTTTATCTGAAATACTCTCCTTTACACATTACCTGGTAAAGATTTGCTCATCCTACAAGCTCAAACTCATTCTGTAGTGTCTATAAATCCTTCCCTGACTTACTCAAATGAAATCATCTGTTTCCCTTGCTCCCAAAGTAGTTTGTACCTCCTTCTAATACAATATCATATTGTATTATAGTTTTTCTCATTTCCTTCACTAGACTTTGGGTATCTCATATTACATACACATTGTTTGGCAGGTAGATGCTCAGTATTTTTGAATTAATGAATAAATATTGAATTCTTTAAACTTTTTCCATAGGTGCTGCAGATGATTACAATAGAATTGGTTCTTCATTATATGCTTTAGGAACTCAGGATTCTACAGATATATGCAAGTAAGGATTCTGATTTTTTTTTAAAACAGTAAATATAAATAAAACAAAAGTTTTGTTGGCAGCTGGGCATACACCGTACTATACACCCAGCAGACATTTTAGAATATTTTTGTGAAAACACATTGATAATAAGGAGTTTCTTTATAAACTTAGGTCCGTGTTAATTTTTATTCCCTTTCTCTCATTTTTTAAAATATGTTTTTATTAATTTTAGAGAGAAGGGAAAAGAGAAAGAGAGAGAAACATCCATCGGCTGCCTCCTCCACACCCCCTTCTGGGGATTAAGCCCCAAACCTGGACATGTTCCCTGACCAGGAATCAAACTAGTGACCTCTTGGTTCATGGGTCGACACTCAGCCACTGACCCACCCTGGCCAGGTTCTCTCTTATTTTTTAAGTTTGAAAAATAAAAATGGACCTTAAGATATATATATATTTTTTAAACTTTACAAAGTTTTATTTAATGAAACTAGGCTGGAGGGGGTATAAGAGAGAGAAAGACAGACTTTATGTCAAAATATTGTTAGGTTTTGATAAAGTTTATTATAAATTAAAAATGCTGTTTGGAATTAGAACATATATATGTATGTATTTCATTGGAGGCCAAATTGACTTTTTTTTTTTTTAATCCTCTTCTGAGGATATTGTTCCGTTGCTTTACAGAAAGAGTGAAAGGGAGAGAGAGAGAGAGAGAAACAGAGAAACATCGATGTGAGAGAGACACATCAATTGGTTGCTTCCTGGACATGCTTCAGCTGGGGCTGGGGATCGAGCCTGCAACTAAAGTATATGCCCTTGGCCAGAATCGAACTCAAGACCCTTCAGTCAGGCTGATGCTCTAACCACTGAGCCAAACCCGCTAGGGCGACTTTTTTTTTTTTTTTTTAATTTTAGAGGAAGGGAGAGAGAAAGAGAAAACATCAACGTGAGAGAGAAACATTGATCAGTTGCCTCCCACACATGCCCCAACTTGGGATCGAACTCGCCACTTTTCGGTGTACAGGATGATGCTCCAACCAACTGAGCCACACCTGCCAGGGCCAAATTGACTTTGTTTGTTTTTTAATCCTCACCCCAGGACGTACTTAGAGGAAGGAAGAGAGAGAGAGAAACAGCAATGTGAGAAGAGAGAAACTTTGACTGGTTGCCTTTCATGCATGTCCCAACCTAGAATAGAACCAGCAGCCTTTCAGTTCACAGGAAGACATTCAACCAAAGTGAGCCATTCTGGCTGGGCCCAAATTGACTTTTAAAGTAAAATTTAATGCTGTCACTTTGCACTTTTTAAAGAGGCTGGCTGTTTTAGTTTTTATAGTTTAGTAAATGTTAGGGTAGTTGGATAAGGAAGGTGTGCAAGTTGGTGTAAAAACGCTTTCTGAAAGGTTGCTTACACAGCTGTCCTCTATTTACTTTATGCTAGTTTTTCACTGTAATCTAATGGTACTTAATTTTACTTTCTCCTGTAATATTGTTTAAATCCAACTCTTCATTGAAAAATAATTCACTTCTTTTTAAATGTTAAGTGAAAAAACTATTTTCATAGTTCATGCCTTCCTCTAAACCACATCTTTGAACTTTCGTCTAGTATATCTCAGACATGTAAGATCCAAGTTTTTCAGCAAAGCAAGGTACTGTAGCTTAAACTACTTAACATGCTACCTTCCCAAAGAGTTCTTTTTTTTTCTTTTTTCTTTCTTTTAATATATCTTTATTGATTTCAGAGAGAGGAAAGGAGGGGGGGAGAGAGAGAGAAACATCAGTGATGAGTCATTGATTGAGCCCGCAACCCGGGCATGTGCCCTGACCAGGAATCGAACCCCAATCGCCTGGATCCTAGGTCAACGCTCAACCGCTGAGCCCAAAGAGTTCTTAATTCTTTGATAAGAAGAAGAAAAGATCAATCTTGCCATGTGTTATCTGATGTAAACCTGTCAAAGCAAGTTTTTTTGGTAAAGTGAAGTTCATAAAATTGTGTTTCAGTTTTCAATAGTATTTGCCCTAATCCAATTATAGTGTAATCTATAATTGCCGATTTTACAAAATACCCTCTAGCAGTTTTGTATTGGGATTTTTTTAGTTGGTTGTCAGCATTTGTAAGAGGCTGTTTGGTTAAAAGTGAAAGTGAATTCTGAAATAGAAGTTGGTTATTGCTTTTTGTTGTTTTCCAAAACAAAGCAGCTCTATTTGAAAATGTTTAAAACATAACTATCAGATATCCTCAAAAACTGCTCCAACTTCAGTGTTTTCCTTTTAAATCAGCTTTTTGTCTCTTTGGATATGATTGTTCTGTAATTATTTGAAAGTATAGGCTTTATTTAGTATTATGGAGCATATTACTAAAGAATATCAAGACAAGCCCTAGCCAGTTTTGCTCAGTGGTTGGAGCATCGGTCCTCGGACTGAAGGGTCTTAGGTTCGATTCTGACCAAGGGCATCTACCTTGGTTGCAGGTTCGATCCTCAGCCCCAGTTGGAGCGCCTGTGGGAGTATCTCTTACATTGATGTTTCTCTCTTTCTGTCTCTCTCCCCTTCCACTATCTGAGAAGCAATGGAGAAAATATCCTTGGATGAGGATTTTTTTAAAAATATATCAAGACAAAATTTTTAGGTTTTATTGTATGGCTTAGTCTGTTCTCTTGAAATGGGAAGATTTTCTGTAACAACAGATTTCAAGTAATTTGTTATAGGTGGAAGTACAGAGATATTTTTGTTAAACTAAATGAAGAAAATAAGACCACTAAATATTATTATAATGAGACAAGAACATTCATTATTCACTTGTTTTGGGGCATTTTGTGTTCTCTAAACATTTGAAATGGAAAATTATTTAAAAGTATCTTCTAATAAAATATTTTTCTTTTCCAGATTTTTCCTCAAAGTTTCAGAACTGTTTGATAAAACAAGAGTAAGTACTATTAATTAACCTTTGATAATCCAAATCTCTGCATACAGTTGTGTTTAAATTGTTTAGCTTTATTGAGGAAGATGTTACACTTCAAAGGGATGAAAAAACATTTAGATTTGAAAATTTGAGAGTTTTGCAGGAAATTCGGTTTTTGTAATGGCCTTTTGGTATTTATTTATATTCTTGATCAGAAAACATGTTTATTATGGAGACTGGGTTTATTTTTATAAAAAAATGACCCTTTCTTGGGGCTTTGTAAGCTAGAAGAAAGTTAGATTCGTTGTAACTTTACCAAGACTATAGTGCTTTTGATCCCCCTTGGCACAGTGGTTTAAAATTGAGTTGTATCAAGTATACAACTGCAGGTTTCATTCGTGGTAGTAATAATTTAATAATGACATAATCTTGGTTTTCAAGGATGAGTCCTAGATACAGTAATATTTAACATTTTTATCACTTGATAAAATAGTGAAAATGTTTATTAGATGTTTAATGGTACTTAGCTGAGAGTGGTGGTGTGTAGTCCATTGTAAAATCTGATTTCAACATGACCTTTTTAATTGAGTGATAATGTAGTAGAGACAAGTAAAAGAAAAGAAGATATTCTCTCACAAAGGAAAAAGTCCTTAAATACATAAATGTTGTTATACTGGGGTCCATATAGCCCATTATTCTGCCACTGATATTTGTACCAGTGAGCATTTTCTGGGAAGATAGTTTTTTATGTGTGCATTTGGTCATAAGAATAGGGTTCTGTATCAGAATAGCCCTATGTGTCAGTTCTTTTTATTTTATTTTATTATGTTTTATTTTTGTTAATCCTCACTGGAGAAAAATTTTTTTTTAAATATATCTTTATTGATTTCAGAGAGAGGAAAGGAGAGGGAGAGAGATAGAAACATCAATGAGGAGAGAGTCATTGATTGGCTGCCTCCTGCACTCCCCCTGCTGGGGATTGAGCCCGAAACCCGGGCATGTGCCCTGACCAGGAATTGAACCCCGATGGCCTGGATCCTAGGTTGACGCTCAACCGCTGAGCCACACCTGGCTGGGCATGGAGAAAATTTTTTCCATTGATTTTTTTTCCCTTTTTTTAAAGAGAGTGGAAGGGAGAGGAGTGGACAGAGAGAAGAACATTGATGCAAGAGAGACACATTGATTGGTTGCCTCCTGAGCACAACTCTTGGGTGCACGGGGCAGCGCTCTAACCACTGAGCAACACCAGCCAGGGCTTTTGTGTCAATTCTTCTTTTTTTTTTTTTAATATATCTTTATTGATTTCAGAGAGAGGAAATGAGAGGGAGAGAGAGAGATAGAAACATCAATGATGAGAAAGTCATTGATCGAGCCCGCAACCCGGGCATGTGTTCTGACCGGGAATGGAACCGCGATCGCCTGGATGCTAGGTTGACGCTCAACCTCTGAGCCATGCCCGGCCGGGCAATTCTTTTTTTTTAATGTTTTGATTTATTTCAGAGGAAGGGAGAGAGAGAAACATCAATGAGATATAGACTAGCTGCCTCCTGCACGCCCCCTACTGAGGGTCGTCGAGCCTGCAACTCAGGCATGTGCCCTCACCTGGAATATACCAGTGACCTCTTAGGGCATGGGACAGCTCTCAACCAACTGAGCCACACCAGTTGGGCTGTGTGTCAGTTCTTTTGTGTTTCTTTTTTAATCCTCATCCGAGGACAGTTTTTCCATTGATTTTTCGGAGAGTGGAAGGGAGGGAGAGAGGGAGAAAGAAACATATCAATTGGTTGCCTCCCGCACACACCCCTCCAGGGGCCCAGGATGGAGCCTGCAACCTTCAGTCTGCAGGCCAGTGCTCTAACCACTGAGCTGAACCGGCTAGGGCCTGGCTGGGCGTGGCTCAGCAGTTGAGCATCGACCTAGGATCCAGGAGATCGCAGTTTGATTCCCAGTCAAGGCACATGCCCAGGATGTGGCTCAGTCCCCAGCTGGGAGTGTCCAATGATGACTTTCTCATCATTGATGTTTCTCTCTCGCTCGCTTTCCCTTCCTCTCTCTGAAGTCAATAAAGACGTATTTAAAAAGTAAAAATAAAAACTGGCTAGGACCTATGTGTCAATTCTTTTGGGGGCATTATGTATTCTCTGAACATTTGAAATGGAAAATTAAAAGCAGATGTCAAGATGGGATTAGAGCCCGGCCGGGCTTGGCTCAGCGGTTGAGCGTCAACCTAGGATCCAGGCGATCGGGATTCGATTCCTGGTCAGGGCACATGCCCGGGTTGCGGGCTCGATCAGTGACTCTCTCATCATTGATGTTTCTCTCTCTCTCTCTCCCTCTCCTTTCCTCTCTCTGAAATCAATAAAGATATATTAAAAAAAAAAAAAAAGATGGGATTAGATGTGCAAGAGATTTATTGAGAGGAACAAAAAAGGAGCAAAAGTAGACAGGAAGAGCCTTCAGACCACAGTGCAGGTCTACACCTGTGATAAAAGAGGGCAGAGGAAAGAGGACTAGGTAGGAAGAGTTTCAGACTATAGCACAGTTCTAAGGAAGTTTTGTCCAGGTCAAAGAGGAGTCTCTGAGCCATAGTTGCCCATTAGAGGAATTCTGCATCAGGCAGGAATGGGCTGGCACTACTGCCCGTTTTGCTTTGTCATTGGCTAGGTACAGCAGAGGCAGGGGGAGGATGGAACATAACCTTGGTATGAACGTGGTTCTGGATCCAGAGAGATTGCAGTTGGAACCATCAGTCAACTCTCCTCCTTGCAGCAAGCAGTTTCTCTTGAGGGAGATCTGAGTGGCGCATTTCCATAGCCACCACAATCCTTATTTCCTTTAGTGTTTGCATGTTGTTCTGGTTATTCTTGCTGTGTAACAAAGCATCCTAAAGTCAGTAGCTTAAAACAACAACCATTTTATTATGCTAATTAATTCTTTGGGTCAGGAATTCGTTCGGAAAGGGCACATCAGTGATGGCATGCCTGTGCTCCATAAATTCTTACTACTGTATAGTATCCTGTTGCAAGAATATACTTAATTTTATCTGTTCTGTTGGTAGACCATTTGGATAGTTTCTGGTTTGGAGCTCTTTACAAGTGGCACTGCTAAGACCATTCTTGTGTACCTTCAGTTGAACATACGTGCACATTTCTTTTGGACGGATATAACTAGAAGGAGAATTGGATGATTACAGGGTATCCATGTGAAAAGCTTTCTTAGATACTTCCAAACTGTTTCCCTAAGTGATTGTACCAATTTACATCCCCACCAGAAAGAATGAGTATTGGGTTGCTGCACAAGCTTATAATACTTGGTATCTTCTTTATTGTAGCTATTCTGGTAGATGTGTAAGGTTTTTTTAATTTTAACTTTTTATATGACAGTAATTCCATATTTACAGAAAAGTTGCAAGAATAGGACAAAGACTTCATGTACATGTATCACCCAGATTTTCTGAATGTTAACATTTTCTACATTGCTTACAGTCCTTTTATTCCAAAAGTCCATATTCCTTGTATTTTCTGCCCTTTGTGTACATTCTGTTTTTTAATAGGTAAAATTTTCTTTTATTTATGGCCAAGTAGTATTACATTGTGTGAATGTACCACATTTTCTTTTCCTTTTTTAATTTATATTTATTGATTTGAGAGAGAGAAAAAGATGAATTTGTTGTTCCACTTATTTATGCATTCATTGGTTGATTCTTGTATGTGCCCTGACCGGAGATTGAACCCGCGACGCTCTAACCAACTGAGCTACCCAGCCAGGGCTACATCTCTCTTTTTTTTTTTAAGATAAATAATTTTTAATATATAACCAATATGATTATCAATGATTCCCCTTAATCTAATCAAATACCCAAAATACAGATATTTCCAGTTGTCTCATAAATGGCTTTTTACAGTGGAATTTGTTTAAGTTGGAATCCAAACAAGTTCCCCATATGGTATTTGGTTGACATAGTACATCTTTCTTTATCAAACTGTATCTCTCCAGACAGTATGGAGAGTTCTCATCTTTTTAGTCTGACATGGTTATTTCCCATTTGATCCCAGTTTAAACTAACCACATCTGTTTATTGCTCCGTGGTGTCTTCAAGCACATTTTGTTAATATTTTGACTGTGTTTTTTGGTTGTCCTCAGTAGGAGAATTAGTTTCAATTATCTAGTCTACCATTGCCAGCTTTATCACTTTAAAATCATGTGTACATACCAGTTGCCATTGAAGTGAATAGAGAGAAAATATAAGTGAAGCTGAAGGATGATATTGAAACTCTTTATAGCCAAGAAATTGAGTCAAATATAGAGTTCTTCCATAAATTCACTAATTTCATTTGATCTCATCTTTTTTCTGTTCATTTTTTGTCAGTTACAAAGAAAAGTAATAGACTAGTAGAAAAGAGAAGGAAAGAAACCTAAATTACATAGGAATTAATGCTACAGTTATTTATAACTTAAATTTTTTTATAGTAATAAGGAAAACACTGAGCGTAGAATACAAGTGATGATTAAATGCCCAATTTTTCCCCTTTTTCAGAAAATAGAAGCACGAGTGTCTGCTGATGAGGACCTCAAACTCTCTGACCTTTTAAAATATTATTTAAGAGAATCTCAAGCTGCTAAGGTAACTTTATTGTTCATTGTTTTTTTAAGTGGACTAACAAAAGGCCATCTCTTTAAAGTTGTTAGACTAAGATTGTCAAAGATGATTTATTTCTTGATTTTAAATTACATTTTCTTTTCTTTTTATTTATTTATTGATTTTAAAGAGAGAAACATCGATTTGTTGTTCCATTTATTTATGCATTAGTTGGTTGCTTCTTATATGTGCCCTTACCAGGGATCGAACCCACAACCTTGGCATATTGGGATGATGCTCTAACCAACTGAGCTACCCAGCCAGGGCTAAGTTATGTTTTCAAGTGTGAATTTTTTTTTCTCCTTTCAGAAATTGTAGGTCAGGGAAAAATAAAAATTTCCTCTGTAAGCTTTGGATACAGTATAGTCTAAATTTTTTTTTTATGAATTTGATATATTTATTGAAGTAAAATGCCTGCAAAATTAAAAGTAAAACCCCCAAATAACAGTTGTATAGCTAAAGGATTCCTAATTTGGTCTATATCCTTTATTGAAGGTGAGGGATCCATAAAACAAGGATAGGTTTTATTTTAAGGCAACTCAAATTTCCTTTTGGAAATCTGTCTAGGTACAAGACTAAAACTCTAATAAAAAAAATGTTTAACAGCCCTGCCCGGTCTGGCTCAACAGAGCATCGAACCACACACCAAAGGGTTGCAGGTTCAATCCCTGCCTGGGTGGCAGTGCGTGCAGGAGGCAACCAACTGATGTATCTCTCTCACATTAATGTATTTTTTCTCTCTCCCTTCTCCCTCCCTCCCTTCCATGCTCTCTACAAATCAATGGAAAAAGTATCCTCGGGTGAGGAGTCACAAAAAACAAACCAAAAAAAATGTTTAACAGAAACATCTTAAAAGCACAGAAAATTTAGTGACTTAGATACTCAGAATCACTGTTAATTTATGAATTGAGATATTGCACAGAAAATTCCCATTTGATCAGTGAAGCTTTGAACACCATTCCTTCATTTCGTATCAAATTATAAATAACCCTTTTAACTTTGAGGACTTGCATATATACCATCCATATCAAATCATTTTAAATCAGATTGTGCCTTACAAACTATTTACATTGGATGGGCCAGGATAAAATGAATTGTTCACTTTTGAAGACTTTAAATTTATTATTTTATTATAATATGTAGTAGTTATATAGATAACTTTTTAGAATGAAACATGGCTTTTAAAGTAAATCCAGATTTTTTAGTAACCACAAGAAAGAATTGAAACTTAATTGTAACAATTTTTTTAAAAAACCACAGTGATGTATCACCATACACCTTAATTAGAATGGCTAAAATTTTTAAAATTCTGCCAAAAATTATAGCAACTGGCCCTGGCTGATGTGGCTCACTTGGTTGCGTATCATCCAGTGCACTGAAGGGTTACTGGTTCGATTCCCAGTGTGAAGTGTGCAGGAGACAGCTAACAGATGTTGTGTTCTCACATAAATGTTTCTCTTTTCTCCCTTCCTCTCTCTCTCAAAATCAGTAAACTACTTTAAAAAATTATAGCAACTGGAACTTTCATACACTGTTAGTGGAAATATGATGCAATGCTTTGGAAAAGTGTCAGAGTTTCTTTAAAAACTATGATCCAGTCATTCCAGTTTAGATATTTGAAAGCATATGTCCCCACAGATGTTCAAATCAGCTTTATTTGTAGTAGCTAAAAACTGGCAACAACAACCTTAATGTTCACCAACAGATGAGTAAATAAGCAAATTATGGCATAGCCATACAGTGCAGTATTCCCCAGCAATAAAAAGGAATGAGTGACTCATACAAGCAACAACATGGATGAATCTCAAAATAAAAGATTGTGAAAGAAGCCAAACAATAAAGAACGTAGTTTATACTAGAGTTCACTCTTAGTGTTGTACATTCTGTGGGTTTTAACAAATGTGTGATGACATGTATCCACCATTATAAGCGTCATACAGAATAGTTTCACTGCCCAAAAATCCTCTGTGCTCCATCTATTCATCCTCCTTCCCCCTAACCCCTGTTGGTCTTTTTTATTGTCTCCATAGTTTTGCCTTTTCCAGAATGACATATAGTTGGGCCTTTTCAAATTGGCTTTTTTCACTTAGTAATATGCATTTAAGTTTCCCCTGTGTCTTTTCATGGCTTTATAACTCATTTCTTTTTAGCACTGAATAATATTCCATTGTCTGGATGTACCAAGTTTATTTGTCCACTGACCTACTGAAGGACATCTTGGTTGCTTCCAGGTTTTGGCAGTTATGAAAAAGCTACTATAAACATTCATGTGCAGGTTTTTGGGTATACGTAACTTTTCGACTCTTTTGAGTAAATACCAAGGAGCACAATTGCTAGATCATATGGAAAGAATGTTTAGTTCTGCCAAACTATTTTCCAAAGTGGCCGTACCATTTTGCATTTCTGAGAGTTCCAGTTGCTTCACATTCTTACCAGCATTGGGTATCGTCAGCGTTGTGGATTTTGGCCATTCTAACATATGTGTGATGGTATATCATTGTTTTAATTTGCATTTCCCTGGTAGGTGATGTGAAGCATCTTTTCACATACTTACTTGCCATCTGTGTATCTTTGGTGAAGTATCTGTTAAAAAACTTGGCCTTTAACCCATTTTTAAATTGAGATGTTCATTTCCTATTGTTGAATCATAAGAGTTCTTTGTGTATTTTAGATAGCAATCCTTAATCAGATATGTATTTTGCAAATATTTTGTCTTTGTCTGTAGCTTGTCTTCTCATCCTATTGACAGTGTCTTTGGCACAGCAAATTTTTTTTTTTTTTTATCCTTACCGGAGGATGTTTTTACTGATTTTTAGAGAGAGAGGAAGGGGGAGAGAAAGAAACATCAATCTGTTGCTTCCAATACCTCCCCCAACCAGGGATAGAACCTGCAACTTTTTGGTGTACAGGACGACTCTCCAAGCAACTGAGCCGCCTGGCCAGGGCTGCATAGCAGAAAATTTTAATTTTAAAGCAGTCCACCTTATCAGTTATTTTTTTCATAGATCATGCCTTTAGTGTTACATCTAAAAAGTCATCACCAAGCTCTGGCCAGTTTAGTTCAGTGGTTAGAGTGTCAGCCCATGGACTGAAGGATCAAGGGTTCAATTCCAGTGAAGGGCGCATACCTCAGTTGAGGCTCAATCCCTAACCCCAGTTGGGGCATGTGCGGGGAGGCAGCCAGTTGATGTGTCTCTCTCACATTGATGTTTCTCTCTCTGTGTGTCTCCCCCTCCCTTCCACTCTCTTTAATATATATATTTTATTGATTTCAGAGAGAGGAGAGGAGAGGGAGAGAGAGAGATAGAAACATCAATGATGAGAGAGTCATTGATCGGCTGCAGCCCGCAACCCGGGCATGTGCACTGACCTGGAATGGAACCCTGATCGCCTGGATCCTAGGTCGACGCACAACCGCTGAGCCACTCCCGGCCGGGCCGCCTTCCACTCTCTTTAAAAAATCAATGGAAAAAATATCCTTGGGTGAGAATTTAAAAAATAAAAATAAATAGAAAGTCATCACCAAACGCAAGGTCACCTGGATTTTCTCCTATGTTATCTTCTAGGTGTCTTCTAGTTTTACCTTTTACATGTAGATCTGTGATCTATTTCAAGTTAATTTTTGTAAAGGGTGTAAAGTCTGTGTATAAATTTATTCATTTGCATGTGAATGTCCAGTTTTCCCAGCACCACTTGCTGAAAAGACTGTTCTCTATTGTATTGCCTTTCCTCCTTTATCAAAGATCAGTTGACTATATTTTCGTGGGTCTACTACTCGGCTCTATTTTGTTCTATTGATCTATTTGTCTATCTTTTTCTAACAGTGACACACTGCTTAGATTATTGTAGCTTTATAGTAAGACTTCAGTTTCAAGTAGGTAGTGTCAGTCCTCTGAGTCTGTTCTTCTCCTTCAATGTTGCCTTGGTTATTCTTTGTCTTTTGCCTCTTCACATGAACTTCAGAATCATTTCGTGGATAACTACAAAAAAAGTTTTCAGCTTTTACAAATAAAACTGGTATGAATCGATAGCTCAAGTTGGAAAGAATTGATTCTGACAATACTGAGTTTCCCTGTCCATCAACATAGAATATTTCTGCATTGATTTAGTTCTTTGATTTCTTTTATCATTTTTTGTTTGTTTGTTTTCCTCCTATAGGTTTTGTGTATATTCTGTTAGATCAGTACTTTAAATATTTTATTTTCTGGGGTGCAAATGGTATTGTATTTTTAATTTCAAATTTTACTTGTTCATTGCTGGTATATAAGATAGCAGTTGACTTTTTTTTTTTTTAAACATATCTTTATTGATTTCAGAGAGAGGAAAGGAGGGGGAGAGAGAGATAGAAACATCAATGATGAGAGAGTCATTGATCGGCTGCCTAGCCCGCAACCCGGGCATTTGCCCTGACCAGGAATCGAACCCGGATCTCCTGGATCCTAGGTCGATGCTCAACCCCTGAGCCACGCCCGGCCGGGCAGCAGTTGACTTTTGTGCATTAATATATTCTACAACCTTATTATTCTCATTTATTAGTTCAGGAGTTTGTCAATTTTTTTTTTTCTTCATATTTCCGCATAAGCAGCCATGAATAAAGACGGTTTTATATATTTCTTCCAAATCTGTATACTTCTTATTTCCTTATTGCATTATCTAGGATTTCCAGTACAATGTTGAAAAGGAGTGGTGATATGCGACATCCTTATGTTTTTCCTAATACTAGTGGGAAAGCTTATAATTTCTCACCATTAAGTGTGATGTTAGTTGTAGGTTTTTTGTAGGTGTTTTTTTAATCAACTTGAAGTTCCTTCTATTTCTAGTTTGCTGAGACGGTCAATTGATTGTTGACAAAGGTGCTAAGACAGTTTAGTGGAGAAAAGGAAAGACTTTTCAACAAATGGAATTGGACAACTGAATAGTCACATGAGAAAGTAAAGTTCGACCGCCTTTCTCACATCACATATAAAAATATACTCAAGCCCTAGCTGATTTTGCTCAGTGGTTAGAGCATCGGCCCACAGACTGAAGAGTCCCAGGTTTGATTCTGGCCAAGGGCACGTACCTCAGTTACAGGCTCAATCCGGGCCCTGGTCAGTGCTCGTGCGGGAGGCAACCAGTGGATATGTCTCCTTCACATCGATGTCTTCTATCTCTCTCTCTCCCTTCCACTGTCTCTAAAAATCAGTGGAAAAAATATCTTCAGATAACGATTAAAAAAATAAAAATGTACTCAAAATGGCCCTCGCTGGTGTGGCTTAGTTTGTTCGAGCATCATCCCATGCAGTCTTGGTGCATGCAGGAAGCAACAGATCCATGTTTCTCTCTCACATCGCTGTTTCTCTCCCTCCCTCTCCCTTCCTCTCTCTCTCTAAAATCAATAAAGAAGCCCAGCCAGCTGTGGCTCAGCAGTTGAACATTGACCCAGGATCCAGGAGATCACAGTTCGATTCCCGGTCAGGGCACATGCTCAAGTTGCAGGCTCGATCCCTGGTCAGGGGCATGCAGGAGGCAGCCAGTCAGTGACAACTCTCTCATCATTGATGTTTCTCTCTCTCTCTCTCCCTCTCCCTTCCTCTCTCTGAAATCAATAAAGACATATTAAAAAATAATAATAATCATTTAATATGTGTCCTTTTGTGTATGGCTTTTTAAACCTTGCATAAAGTTTCAAGTTCATCTGTGTGACAGCATGAATCAATACCTTCCTTTTTATTGCTAAATTATATGTGTGTGTGTGTGTGTGTGTGTGTGTATTTCTCACCCAAGGATTTTTTTTTTTTATTGATTTTAATTTTTTTTTTAATTATATCTTTATTGATTTCAGAGAGAGGAAAGGAGAGGGAGGGAGAGAGATAGAAACATCAGTGATGAGAGAGTCATTGATCGGCTGCCTCCTGTACGCCCCCCACGGGGGATCGAGCCCAAACCAGAGCATGTGCCCTGACCGGGAATCGAACTGGAACTGGGATCTCCTGGATCCTAGGTTGATGCTCAACTGCCAAGCCATGCCGTCCAGGCTAATTTTTTTTAAAAATAGGTTTTTATTTATTTTAGAGAGGAAGGGAGAGGGACAGAGAGAGAGAAGCATCAATGAGAGAGGACCATCGATTGGCTGCCTCCTATACACCCCCTACTAGGGATTGAACCCAACTCGGGCATGTGCCCTGACCAGGAATTGAACCTGTGCCCTCTTGATTCATGGGTCGACACTCAACCACTGAGCCATGCCAGTCGGGCTGATTTCATTTTTTAATGAAATATCCAGAATAAGCAAATCTATAGAGACAGAAAGCGTTAATGGTTGGGGTGGGAGGCGAGGGTGGAGAGTGACTGTTGTTAATGGATATGGGGTTTATTTTGGGGGTGACAAAAAATGTTGTAAAATTGTAGTGATGGTTAACTCTGTGAGCATCCTAAAAACCATTGAATTGTGAACTTTGAATGAGTGGGCTATATGGTGTATGGATTATATCCAAGTAAAGCTGTTATATTTAAAAAACACAAGAGTAACTGGCATATGATATTCACTGTATGAGTGTTATCTCTGAGGAAGATTAGGTGGCAGCAGTGCTAGTGGTGGCGGTGGTGGTGTTGGTTGAGTGTAACTAACAAAAATGTGCGGCATGTATTATTGTGAAACATTCTGTCTTATAGGATCTCCTCTATCGAAGATCTAGGTCACTAGTGGATTATGAAAATGCTAATAAAGCACTGGATAAAGCAAGAGCCAAAAATAAAGATGTTCTACAGGCTGAAACATCCCAACAGTTATGTTGTCAGAAATTTGAAAAAATATCAGAATCTGCAAAACAAGGTATTGTTATATTAACCTTTAACAAGGTATGCTTTACACTAATATATAAATTAAATAGTTAATCCTAATTTCTTTCACAGAACTTATAGATTTTAAGACAAGAAGAGTTGCAGCATTCAGAAAAAATTTAGTGGAACTGGCAGAGTTAGAACTGAAGCATGCAAAGGTAATGTCATATTAAAGGTTTAATAATTTAAGGGACTTAAAATTTAAAAATGAGTCAGTTATGAAATTGATTCTAAGGGATACTGTAAGAACTATTCCTGAATTGAAATTAAATTTTTCAACATTATTTCACTCCTTAAAAATATTTGGTTTTAGTAAATAAATACCCTCTACAGCTTTTTTATAGTATTTGTTTACTTTTAATTAAGTCCTTTCTTGTAGTTAATATAAAGATAAAGCTTAGCTCAAACCTTACGGTAATTTTTAAAATAGAGAATCTTAGAATTGAGAGAGACTTTTTAAATGATCTAATTCAAACAAGAATAATATCTATAATGACTCTGATGGTCAGCTCTGCAAGACTCTAGTATCTAATATGGCAACCAGCATTATTTTTTTGACTAGTTGTTTAAAAAATAAATCTTCCTGAATAGAAACAAATGTCACTTGAAAATTTATTTAGCCCGGCCGGGTGTGGCTCAGCGGTTGAGCATCGACCTAGGATCCAGGCGATCGGGGTTCAATTCCCGGTCAGGGCACATGCCCGGGTTGCAGGCTCGATCAATGACTCTCTCATCATTGATGTTTCTATCTCTCTCTCTCCCTCTCCTTTCCTCTCTCTGAAATCAATAAAGATATATTTTTTTTTTAATTTATTTAATATTGCTATCTTCAGTCAGAGGGACTGGAAATTAAAAATGTATTCAGCCCAGCCGGGCGTGGCTCAGTGGTTGAGCATTGACCTAGGATCCAGATCACAGTTCAATTCCCGGTCAGGGCACATGCCCGGGTTTGGGCTCAATCGATGACTCTCTCATCATTGATGTTTCTCTCTCTCTCTCTCTCCCTCTCCCTTCCTCTCTCTGAAATCAATAAAGATTTTTTTTTTTAAAAAAAAGTATTCAGAATTTACAAAACTATAAGTATTAAAGAAATTTAAATAAACTTTAAATTTTTGATACATTTATAGCATTTACACTTTAAAGTTATTAAAGCTTAAACACAAATCTCTGTAACTCTGATATACATATTGGTCAAAATTTTATCATGTGAAATAAGGAGGATAAGTTTTCATTCATATTTTACAGTTTACCTTTCAGATATATGAATACTTTATATCTTCTCTCCTCCAGGGTAGACATCTTTGTGCTAAAAATTTTTCATCCTATATACCTTAACAAGCTTTTTACAATATTATTGACCCTCCTGTCACTGCTCTTTTAAAATATTGCACTCAGAGTGAAAATATTCTTTTATACATGGACTGATTATTGTACACTTTCTTTCTTTTTTTAAATATATCTTTATTGATTTCAGAGAGAGGAAAGGAGAGGGAGGGAGAGAGAGATAGAAACATCAATGATGAGAGATTCATTGATCGGCTGCAGCCCGCAACCCGGGCATGTGCCCTGACCGGGAATCAAACCCTGATCGGGAATTGAACCCTGATCGCCTAGACCCTAAGTCAACGCTTAACTGCTGAGCCACGCCCGGCCAGTCTACTTTTTTTTTTTTAATAAGTGTTTATTTGAGCCAAACTGTCTGGAAGCACCGTCTCAGTGCTCCTATGGACATGTTTCTTACAACATGTTTTATATGTATAAGATACGGGCAGTTTTTACTACCACATTGCACCAGCTTGATTTGGCTTATAATCACAACTTTTTTTTTTTTAATTAGTCACTTTTTGAGCCCCTAATCTCTAGTTGTGTGTTTAAATTGTTTTTAGTAATTTTTTTATTTTTGTAATAAAAAAATATAAAATATACCATCTTAACCTTTTCATTTTAAATCCTCACCCATTGCCTGGCCAGGCGTAGCTCAGCAGTTGAGCACCAACGTAGGATCCAGGAGATCACAGTTCAGTTCCCAGTCCGGGCACATGCCCAGTTTATTGGCTCGATCCCTAGTTGGGGGCGTGCAAGAGGCAACCGATCAATGACGATCCTCTCATCATTGTTGTTTCTCTCTCTCCCCCCCCCTCTGCCTTCCTCTCTCTCAAATCAATAAAGATATATTAAAAAAAAAAAAAAATTCTCACCTGAGGACATTTTCTCCATCAATTTCTAGAAAGAGTGGAAGGGAGGGAGGAGGGGGAGAAGAGAGATAGAGTGAGAGAAACATCGATGTGAGAGAGACTCATCGATTGGTTGCCTCCCGCATGTGCCCCGACTGGGGCCAGGGATTGAGCCTGCAACCAAGGCACGTGCCCTTGACTGGAATAAAAGGGTCTCTGGTTTGATTCCAAGTCAAGGTCACGTACCTCAGTTGCAGTTTGATCCCCAGCCCTGGTTGGGGAGCGAGCAGGAGGCAACCAGTCCATGTGTCTCTCACATTGATGTTTCTCTCTCTCTCTCCTCGTCCTCCCTCCCTTCCACTCTCTCTAAAAATCAGTGGAAAAAATATCCTCAGGTGAGGATTAATAATAATAATTAATGACGTGATGATGATAATAATATGAAGATCAAATTTAATCTACAAGTTAAATTGTATTGGGATATGGCCAAGCTCAATCATTATGTTTTGTCTATGATTGCTTTCACAGTACTATAGCAAAGTTGAGTAGTTGAAAGAGACTAGAAATCTCTCAAAGTCTAAAATGTTTATTATTTAGCCCTGGACAGGAAAAGTTTGCCAACCACTAGTATAGATTGATGTCAGCCTCTGATTGCCAGATTTTATACTTTTTCAAATCCCTTCTGAAATGTGTTCTTCGCGTTCAGTTTTCTGATAGCTCTTCTAGTCCCTTGGCACTGAACTGGAGGCAGTTTTGTCTCCAAGGAGACATTTAGCAGTTTCTGGAGACANGTTTTCTGATAGCTCTTCTAGTTCCTTGGCACTGAACTGGAGGCAGTTTTGTCTCCAAGGAGACATTTAGCAGTTTCTGGAGACATTTGTGGTTGTCACAACTTGGGGTGGGTGGATTACTACTGGTGTGTAGAGTCCAGGGATGCTGCTAAAATCCCACAGTGCACAGGACAGCCCCACATGAAAGGTTTATACAGTCCCAAATACCAGGCTTGCTGACGTTGAAAAACCCTGCTCTGAAGCTTGCCGAAATAGCTCAGTTGGGAGAGCGTTAGACTGAAAAACCCTGCTCTGTTTAATATTTCTTAATGATTTTGTAAATCTGAACAGAGTCCCATTTTGATCCCAGAATCCGTATATGTTATTCCAAAGACTAGATTAGTCAGATTCACAGCAAGGTGGTTTGAAACTACCTTGGATTTAATTTATTATAACTGGGATATGTGTTGTCACATAATTGAAATCTTGTTATAACAGAAAACTAGTTAGGTCAAATTTTTGTCCTTGAAAAGTAGTCTCAGATTCTTTATTAATGAAGTATAAAATGTATGGTAAGGGCAGTAAAAAAAAAAAAAAATGATAGTGCCCACTAAGGGTGTGAAGTGAGTCCTCACAGGCCCTGTTAGTAAGTTGTGGGTTAATGCACAACCTTTTGTCGGGCATTTTGGCAGTGTGTCAAAGTGCAGGATGTGCATCTTTTGACTCAGCTGTAGACTTGAGGAATATGCCTTTAAGAAGACAATTTCACAAGTATAGACAGGCTCGGAGTCATTTGTCACTGTCTGTTGATATACTGCCAAAAAATTGACAGTAACCCAAACACCTAAAGTTGTTAAATGTGCGTGTTCACTTAATTTCAGACTTTCAGGTAGTTGTAAGGAGAGTACAAAGAATTCCTGGGTACCTTTCACCCAGATTCCCCAAATGTGCAGATTATCACATTTGCATTATCCTTCCTCTTTACGCACACGCACACACACACACACACACACACACACACCTCATACACACCTCATTTTGCCTTAATTATCACATTTGCATTATCCTTCCTCTTTACACACACACACACACACACACACACACACACACACACCTCATACACACCTCATTTTGCCTTAAACCATTTGAATAAGTTGTGGATATGATGCCTCATCACTCTTAAACACTTCAGTGTGAATTTCCTAAAACCAAATAATTCTCTTAAATCCTCATTAGAATAATAAACATCAGAAAATTAATTTTGATACTGTGCTTATCTAATCCACAGGCCTTTATTCACATTCCACCAGTTGTCCCAATAATGTCCTTAACTTCAAAGGAAAATTCAAGATGATGTGTTGCATTCAGTGCATGTCTTTTTAGACTTCTTGAATCTGGAAAAGTTCCCAAGTCTTTGTATCACATAGCATTGGAAATTGTTCAAAGTACAGGCCTACAAAATTCCCCTTAATTTGGGTTTGTCTAATTAGGTTTAGGTTGTGCCCTTTTTGTAGAAATACCACAGAAGTGATGCTCATGTCTTCTCACTGCATCATGTCAGGAGGCACATGCTGTTTATAACATTGATCATTGGTTAAAGTGATGTCTGCAGGATTCTCAGTGGCTAAGTTACTGTTTTACGCTTTGGAATTATGAAGTATTCTGCAGGGATTGTGTAAGCATCTTATCCCTCCGTCACCACTGTCCAGAGTGGTAGGCACTAGCCTGGTGTGGCTGTCAAACACTTGAGATGGGTAGTGGGTAGTGCAACTGAGGAACTGAGTTTTTATTTACTTTTTTTTAAACAAGATTTATTTTTTTAGATTTTTTTTTTGAAATTGATTTTTAGAGAGGAAGGAAGAAGAGAGAGAGAAACATAGATGTGAGAGCAAAACATCTATCGGCTGCCTCCTGCATACCACCTACCAGGGTAGATCCTACAACCTGGACATGTGCCCTGACCTGGAATCAAACCCAGCAACCTTTCAGTGCATGGGACGACACCCAACCGAGGACACCAGCCAGTGCTTATTTGCTGTTAATCAACAGAAATTTAAATTTTATGTAGCTGCACGTAACTAATGGCTACAGCATAGATATTTTAGCATCATACTGTTTTTTGGCATCTATCCATGATTTTTATCTGAATCAAATATTATGATGGTTGCAAAATGGTCACTTCCTAATTCCGTCATTCTTTATATACTTCGATTGACCTTCTCGAAGTAGGTGGTTTTCCTTCCACCCATTTTACATACTATGTAACCTAAATATTGGGGTAAAAGTATGTTTAGAGTTTTTTGTATGGAAATTAATACAAAACTTACAAATAGTAATACCAGAATAAACTGTGTGTTTCAAATACAACTGTAAACCTACTTTTGCCCTCCCCACCCTGTACTTAAATTTGTCTTGATGCGTCTCTTAAGTTTGGATGGCAGTTTACATATTTTACAAATGGGTTCTTAGGTATGAATTTTACAAAACACTTTTGTCTGCAATATTACTATTTTTATAAAAACGCTTTAAATCTATACTACTGTATTCGTGAATGGCTAAAAGAAAATGGTAAGCACCTATCTCGCAGCCAGAAAATGTTCAGCAGTTTAGCTTGGACACAGAGGGCATATTTTCTCCCTCATCAGGATATGCTGAATCAAAACATTAATACTGGTCTAGATGGAAGCTCACTGAAGAACCTAGTATGTGGAAAATACTGTACATGAAGCAAATAACATAATCGTATGTCTTTAACCCTTTATCCGTGTATAGTAAGTTGCTGTTTCCAGAATTCTTCTGTCTTAACAAATTAACAGTTACGTGATTTCTCAAACTTTGTATTTTGAATGAGACCCTTCCAGACTATTGGAACGTGATCCTCTACTCTCCCNTTCTTCTATCTTAACAAATTAACAGTTACGTGATTTCTCAAACTTTGTCTTTTGAATGAGACCCTTCCAGACTATTGGAACGTGATCCTCTACTCTCCCTTCCTGTTTAGGGTAACCTACAGTTGCTGCAGAACTGCCTGGCAGTGTTAAATGGAGACACATAAGCCACACTCCACCTTCGGGTTAAAAAGGGCTGCCTTCCTTCAGATTTTATTTTTGTTTTCTTCATGATGTTAGGCATTTATACTGCTCACTGGAAATGAAAGAAACAGCTGACAAAGTGCATCTACTCTCCTCTTTTCTGAGAAACAATGGAGCAGGGCCGTCCCGGGTGCTGCCGACCTGTGGTGAACGCTGCTACACTCCCGCACCTCCTGCTCCCCGGGGCGGCTGTCGCTCGTCCTGCGCTCGTCTTGCAAAGCCCAAAGTTCAGTCCTTTTTTAAAGTAGCCTCTATAACTCTGTGTATATTATGAATAGTATTCCTTATGGCTGCCAATCTTTATTTCCCTTTAAGTAATTTCTGAAGTTTAACCCTTTCAAAATATATTCTTCAAACAAGATAAAGGTCGCCACTACCTTTTTTTCTTTTTTTTTTTAATTTTGTTTTTAAGAAAACATTGTATACCACCCTAGCTCATCCATGTATCCTGGTAAAGCATCTTAATCAGACTTATTTTTAATCAACGAATATTTCTTAGAAGTTTTGGGACAGACTTTATGTAATCTTTCTAAGTATGATTTCTGAAGAAAAGCAAATGCATTAGTATGTTTGCCTTAAACTTGTAGACTAAACCAACTATTGTCAAATAAACGGTGATAAGAGTGATGGTTTTTAACTCTGTGGTCATTGTATCACTCTGAAATCTGGAGTAGCTATAATGAAGCTATCTACTCCTCTGTCATGCTTTACAGGGCAGGCCTTAGTCTTTATTTCCCTTAGAGTGACAGCTTGGACCCAGTTCACCAATCCCTTTACAAAAGAGTGGACTGCTGCTGTGCTTTTGGCACTTCATGGAAGATGGAATCGGGCAGAGGCCGGTTAGAGGCAGCTGTTCCTAACATACAGGAGCTGAGACTCTGGTGTGCCCTGGTTCCCTGGATGCCATCCCCAGGTGGGCCGATTAACCACGTGACGCGTGCTGTGGAGCCGGTTGGTAGTGACGCCAGCGTGTAGGTTAGTATGCGGAGAGAAGTGTGCCCTAGGGAACGGCTCCTGCCGGTGGGGAAGAAATGGAAATGTGCGCCATGCAGTTAGGGTACAGCGAAGGGCACTAACTGTCGGTGGTTACGTTACAGATATATCGGCCTTTCTAATGTGAGCGAACATTATGTCATGAGCCTGTTTAAAATTCGATTGAGCGGCTGGGTTCTTGCACTCAGCCTTTGTCTAAGGCTTCTCCCGCTTGGAAACCACGGGCATTGGTTGGTCACTGCCTGGATGGGGTCCTGGTTTCTGAAGAGCGCCCGGCCTGCGTCCCGAGGCGAGTGGGCATGACTCCCGCCCTCCTCCACGGCCCCCGCTGTGCCGGTTCACGGTTCTCTCCTTCACGCTTGTTCTCCGATGCCATTTAACTGTTGCTTTTTCTGTTGACTGAGAGACCTGTGTGTTTTGTCCTTCGTGTCACCTTCACTGGTGAAAATATGCCTCTGCGGTGCTCACCAAGTGGGTGACGGGGGGATGGAGAGCCCTAGCTTCTGGAGTCGGTGGGGTTCCTTCACGGGTGCCCTTGTGGCCTCAGGCAGGCTCACTTGACCTCTCTCCCTCAGTTTCTCTACTAGACAGGACATACCGACCTACCTCACAGGGGTGTTGTGAGGATTAATAAATGTTGGTACAGTGCTTTGGAAACGTGAAGTTGCTCTGTAAATGCCAAGAAATAGCAGGCACAGGGCAGAAAGCTATACATACCCGTCAGTTCACGCGATTGTACCAAGGTGGCCTTTGGCGGGGGAGGGGGTAGAGTGGATGGTAGGTGCCTTGGCCCCTTTCATTTTTAGAGTACTTGTGGGGGGTGGGGGAATACTGGAAGCAGCAGTGTGGGGGCAGGGGGTGGAGGGTTGCTTAAAATATAAAAGAGTTGACTTTGCAAGGGTCTTCTCACTCACAAGTCCTACAAATGGCATTGATAAAACACTTATTCACCATCTCGTGCCTGAGGAAGGCAAAGGTGGAACAGAAAGACAGACACCTGCTGGCAGAGACCAAAGCCCTGCATGGATAGTCTAGGGTTTCCCTCTGGTGATGCTTCATGCCAGCGATTTTCAACCGTCGTGTCACAAGAATTTTTAAAACATGTGATACCTGACTGTTTAGTCAGAGGCACTGGCCTCTTTTCCCTTAGATTGTCAAATAAAAATATGACAACAGCCAACAAACACAACAGTAGCCGTCGGTGCCAATGAATCAAAATTATACCTTGGTTTGGTTTGGTTTGTTTTTGTTTTTGTCAGATGGGTCTAAAGTATATTTTTGTAAGTTTGTGTGCCAGGAGATGAAAAGGGCTGAAAACCGGTGCTTTATGCTCTGAGGAGGAGGAACAGGAGCAGGCCAGGCAGCGGGGACAGGGTCGGGGCCGGCCTGGGGTAGTCAGTCGTTGGCTGGGAACCAGGAGACTGTGGGATGAGGGGCTTATGACAGGAGAGTGGAGGATAGCAGGAGAAGAAATTGCTAAAGAAAGGGGGTCAGGCCTGTAGACCACTGAGGCTCGGACTGGTGGTACCTACTTTGGAAGAGCTTATACAATATTCTTAATGTTTTGTAGTGAAACCATGGAAGTCGAGACGCTCAAACTGATCTTTTGTAAGTGGGGCACTATGCAGAAAATAGAGCAAAATGGGAGCTGCGGCAAGGGCTTAAAAGGAGAAGTGCCGGTGCTTTGGGAGAACAGGGAGGGACTCAAGGCCTGAAAACCAGGGAGTGCAATTGTACTTGAACTTTCCATTAAGCCGTCTCTGGAGAGAACGATCCTAACGTCCGTCTCCACCCGCGCCCATCCTTTTTCCCGTGGACCTGCAATACGAAAATTAGGTGTGGAGAGGGGGAGGGGAGCCCTCTTAAGTAGGATAGATATGACTTTGACTATACAGATAACAAACACAGCAGGCAGGTTAAGAGAGGACTGAATCTTCATAGTTTCTCACTGTTACCCAGGGCGCCGGGACAGCGACAAGAGCTGGAGCTTGACTTCCTGAAGCTTTGCAGGCCACGCATTCCCAAAGCGAAACCACTAAAGCTGGGTGTTTCTCTTACAGAAACTTTAAAGCACGGGCAAATCTTTAAGATGAATAAAGTACACACAAGCCCAGAGGCGTAAGAGAGAAACCGCGTTCTGTTTTTGTAACCAACGTAAGTCAGGGGAGAGCGCGAACGCAGTCCCCCACTACCACAAATTATGCAGTCGAGTTTCCCACATTTGGGGAAATCGCAGGGGTCAGCACATCCGGAGTGCAATGGATAAGCCTCGCCCTGGGAAAACCACCTTCGTGATCATGGTATCTCCCCTGCCAGGTAAGTATGAGTTGCCGCGCACGCCTCCACCCCGGCCCTCGCGCTCGCCTCGCTCTTCACACACGGTCACTTTGCTCACCGCGGCCCCGCACCCTCGCTGCCTCGGGCACCCTCGCGCAAGCCTCGCCCGTCGCGGAAACCACCCGGAGGGCCTTTGGATCTGGGGCGCAGGGAAGTTGGGGGCGCGGGGTACTAGGACCGGCAGCCTCTGCGCTCCTGCTCATCNATGAACAAAGTTGGAGGGGATCACAGCACGGGACATGGAACTATACTACAAATCCACTGTAATCAAAACAGCCTGGTACTGACACAAGAGCAGGCATATAGATCAGCCGAACACAACAGAGACCCCCCAGAAATCAACCCACGCCATGACGGCCAATTAATACTTGACCAAGGAGGCAAGAGCATACAATGGAGTAAAGACAGTCTCTTCAATAACTGGTGCTGGGAAAATTGGGCAGGTACATGCATGAAAATGAAGCTAGATCACCAATTTACACCAAACACACGAATGAACTCCAAATGGATAAACTACTCAAATGTAAAGCGGTGAGACCATAAAAAACCCCAGAAGAAAACAGGCAGTAACGTCTCACACCTCGCGTTAGCAGTATTTTTGCAGATACATCTCCTAGAGCAAGGGAAACGAAAAGCAAGCAAACCGAAAGTAGCGAAAAGCCAACCGAGCGACCGACCCACCGACCGAGCAGGAACAACAAAAGCCCAACTAGGAACTACGTGTAACTACGTGGGCACAGGACCACTTCTCCAAAGCATTCTGAGCGGGATACACGCGGTCTCTCCTCTTTAGAGTCCCTGAGTTCCCGGGCGCAGCGGCTGGAACAGTCACAACAGCCCGCAGACACGCACGGTGTCTGCGTCGCAACTCAAACGCCCATAGCTCCTCAGGAAGGGAGAACTAAGCGTCCCCGAGGTCTACTCTTTGCACCGCCACGTCAGGGGAGAGCGCGAACGCAGTCCCCCACTACCACAAATTATGCAGTCGAGTTTCCCACATTTGGGGAAATCGCAGGGGTCAGCACATCCGGAGTGCAATGGATAAGCCTCGCCCTGGGAAAACCACCTTCGTGATCATGGTATCTCCCCTGCCAGGTAAGTATGAGTTGCCGCGCACGCCTCCACCCCGGCCCTCGCGCTCGCCTCGCTCTTCACACACGGTCACTTTGCTCACCGCGGCCCCGCACCCTCGCTGCCTCGGGCACCCTCGCGCAAGCCTCGCCCGTCGCGGAAACCACCCGGAGGGCCTTTGGATCTGGGGCGCAGGGAAGTTGGGGGCGCGGGGTACTAGGACCGGCAGCCTCTGCGCTCCTGCTCATCGGCATACGACACGCCCTCACAGTGACGTCAGGGCGTCCTGTCTCCTGGCCTGACGCGCGCGGGTGGCCGCCAGGCTAGGCGACCTCTCGCGGGCCCGGGAGGACCGGATCTCGCTGCACCCGGCGCCCGGCAGCTTTGGCCCCACCGAGCCTGTGGGTCAGGGCCCGGGCTTGGTCTCGACTTCATTTCCGCGAAAATGACGCGCAACGGTGTCCATTAAACTTCGATACTAAGATCAGGGCTTCGTCACCGATTTCACATGAAGCTGTGTGAGCCTCATTCATGATCTTTCCGATTCTACAGTAACCTAATCTTGCAACAGTGAACGGAGAATTTGAGCAGAATGTCAGGTGGAGGCGTCCGTCCGTTCACGGTGTAGGTGCGGCTGTGGGCCGGGAAGGGGTGTTGCACGTCTTTGAAAATCAAATGAACAGAACAGTCCCATTTCCGCCCTGGGGAGTTAGGTTGCCTGCTTCAGGCCGCCCGGTTTTATCTTTTTCTCTTCGGCGCCAGAAGAGTCCTTCCTGAGATCCCGCGCAGGTTAAAGGTGCTTCCTCCCCGGGGGTGAGCGGAGCGATTGGGCCGCGGCGCGCGGCTGTCCCTGCGCGGTCAGTGCCGGGAGCAAAGCCCGGCGCGGGGCGGACCCGAGGGGAGAGGCCAGGGGCGGGCCTGGCTGCGCCGAGGTCCGAGGGAAAGCGCTGCAGCGCCCTTGCCGCCTGCGGGGCGTTTCAGGAGGTTTCCTTCCTCAGTGTGCATTTCCTGAAAAGGAAGGTTCTCTTGCCTAGCCCCAACACGATTATGGAAATCAAGAAATCGGCACTGATTCCATATTTACAATATTATTCTCATTTACGGACATTATTCGATTTTCATCGATTGTCCCTATAATGCCCTTTGTGACAAAGGGAAATTCGAAACCACATGTTGCATTCAGCTGTCGTGTCTCTTTAACCTGCTTTGACCTGAAGTCGTCCCCGGGCCGTTCTC